ACCCTGGACGGGAAGCCCGGCACAGGGCACAGGGTATCGGACACCCTGGACGGGAAGCCCGGCACAGGGCACAGGGTATCGGACACCCTGGACGGGAAGCCACGCCCGGCCCAGGGTAGGGGACACCCTGGATGGGAACCCACGCCCGGCACAGGGTAGGGGACACCCTGGACGGGAAGCCAAGCCCATCACAGGGCACAGGGGAGGGGACACCCTGGACGGGATGCCAGTACATCACAAAACCGATTCACCGATGTCGCCACGTTTTGGGATGATACCTGGGTAAGCATGGGGGGGAACATGCAAATTCCAAATGCTCAGAGCCAGGGGCAGGAATCAAACCCACATTCCAGGAGGGCAATGAGACACATCAATAGCAATGAATAGCAAGGCACTATTTAGAAAAGCGGGCAGATATTACCCTGGCTGTTCTGGGATACAAGGGGTGCTGCCACACAACACAAGGGTTTCTCATCATCATTGCGAGGCTGCCCCTGAGCCCTGAACCCAAGAAAGGGTCAGACAGATAGAGGCTCAATCTGCCGTCTGAGAGCCCTGAAGAATGCCTATCGAGGTGCTATCCTCAGAACTCGGAGCTGAGCCAAGCCTCTCAGACCGGCTTCGTTTACTGGCGGGTGTAAAATACACAGATAAAAGAGAGCGCCTGTGTCATTAATGGTGCATTAGTAAGAAGTTGTTTGAATAGTAATCTGCTCTTAAAACATGTGCGCTGTACTTTTTCCAAATGAAAGCACCCCAGCACAATTACACATTATCGCAGCTTTATGGGACGGTCTGGGAAACATATGTAATATAGCTAGTTTTCAAATTTTGAATTGCCTACTGTGTATATGCACAGTCTTGTACCACTGTTTACTTTGTATCGAGTCATTGTAGATGTTATTGTTGTGTACTAACTATTTGTGTATCATTTTATATATTATCACCACAGAATTTATTGTTGTGTTTATCATCCAACTGTTCTTTGTTCAAGCTGTCTGATGCAATTCATTTCATAGGTGTGAAATGATGATTAAGTGACTTGATTAGTAATTATGCTGTGTCTCTCTCCCTCAAAGTGTGCTTTCACGGGCATCGATCGCCTCGGCTGATGCAACTTGCCAATGTTTGGCAAACCTGTCATGATTCCTGACACTGTTCCCCTTGACACATTAAGTGAAGTTGCAGTTTCTCTGTGGTGCAGTTTGACCTCTTCAGATCTGCTCCTTTATTCTGCTTTTAAAACTCATATATCAAAAACCTGATTGTCTGGCCTATTTAATATCTGACACATACCGATAACTGGCATTCAACTACATATGACACCTTTGCAGCTGTGTTTGTAATCGTAGCTTCAAAGTTAAAGTCCTTTTTCATGTAGTGTTTCTGTTATTTTGCCCCCCTCCCCAACATATTTTCCAAGAGCTGCAATTCAATCACCAACTCCTAGATGGCACTGTTGAACCATCCACAGGTTTTGCAGGCAGAGATGCCAGGGTCTCCGAGCGCCCTGCTGGCTATGTTCACCTCACCGGGGGCAGTTCTGTGAAAGATGCCATCCTACAAGCGCAGGGCAGTGCCAGTCGCTTCGTAAACGGGGTGGATGCAAATGACGCTGCCGGCTCATTCATAACTATACCCGAAGTTTCCCCGCGCGCGCAAACACTCACACGCACAAAACAAACCATTTAACAGAATGTGAATGGCTTAAATATATTTTCCTTAGCTCAACAGCTCAGCGCATTCATGAGGAATGACCGTTAGGCGAGGACAATGCCCCTCTCAGGGCCTTCCCATCCAGCATCAGTTCACATTTCTGCCTTCCTCTCGTGGTGTTCTGTTCTCTGCCACACATTTATAGCCCTTTCATCATGGAGGTTAGGGGCACAGGCCCCCTGTGAATCGGGAAAAACCACGCAAAATGTTTTAGCCCCCTTGGTGAGTGAAGTGAGCGTACAAACAGGGCGAAGAAAAGCGAAAACAGACAAGAAATGATACAAAGATACAAAGATCAGTGCGAGAAATCATGCAAGAGGCTGCCAAAAACAGGACTGGCTTCATCGCAGGGTTCACCTACGAGCGCCACCAAACCGAACCAAGCTTAAAATGAACCAGGACGTTCAGGCCATCCTGAGACAGCCTCCCTGCTCTACAGTGTCAAATGACTGTACACTGAATTTTAACCGTGATTTGGCCCCTTGGTCATTTTGAATTATTTGAGACGTTTTGAAGATGTACAGGTTGAAAACTGAACCCATTAGAATAATATGTTCTGCAAATGTTATTGCAAATGTTACCAGGGGCCTTTGGGTTTGTGTTGCTGATGGGATCGGCTCTTGGACCCCAGTAACATACCATCAAATGTCAATATAACACCGAATGAATATACAGCAATTAGACCATCTGAGCAATTAAGTGGACAGAGAGATCATTTAAAATTAAGGTCACTTATTTCACATATTTCAAATTTTTTTGGCACAAATATTCTCTTTAAAATCCACATGACTGCCAAGTGCCATTTCCTAAGCAAATCGAGCCTCGTTAATTAAGAAAGCAGAACAGGAGCCACATCAGAAAAGAGCAACGTGTTTGTATTTCTAAGAACAGTACATTCTCCCCCTTAATAAACACCTACCTCATTGCCCTTGATGGGGGAGGGGGAGGGAGGGAGAGAGAAAGAGAGAGACAGTGAGAGTGTGTGTGGGTTTGAATAGATCACATTTGAGGACCAAATTGTCCCCAAAGTGTAGTAAAACCTGAAATTTCCCTACTTTTGGGGACATCTTTTGAGGTCCCCATTTGGATAACCTCAGTTTTATAAAAATCTGTGAATGCAATCAAAAAAGTAAAACTTCCAAAAGTCTTGTATTTGGGTTGGTTATTTATGATGAAGGTTAGGGATGGGTAGGGGTTAAGGGTGTCGTGACTGTGATAAAGGTTTATCCTATAGAAATGAATGGACAGTCCCCATTTAGATAGGAAGACAAACGTGTGTGTACACGTGTGTGTGTGTGTGTGTGTGTGTGGGGGGGGCAGGGTTACCTTTGTAAGATGCCATTTTCCTGTGGAATCACACCATTGATTGCTGCCTGTGAAGAGAGAAAAATAGTTAATACCCCTTATTAAAATGAAAGTAATTAGCTAATACAGATTTCAATCACTTTAATTACTATTAAATATTAAAGAAAAAATTTGTTTTTCCACCAATTGCCTAAAGTTTTGACCAAATCTAACCAAGCAGTCATTCAAGACGTCACTAAAGGATGCACCAGTCTAAGACAGACAAATTCTTGGACAGACGGCCAAATGCAGTTGTACAGACGTCAGGGAAGTTCAGCTCTATGAAAGGACAAGCTACAGACAATAAGACAGACAGATCAGTAAAGTAAGGCAGCCATTTAACCCTATGCGTGCACCTCTGTTATTGGGTAATGTGGGCTGTTCCAGCTACATTAAGGAAGCTACATCAGCAAACCTACACAGAAACAAGCCTACCTGGCTTTACGTTCTCCCACAGGGAATTATACAGTATTTTTACTATACAATGAAGTACCAGCCTACTAAACATAGCCAACATGAAGACAGAACTGGGGGGGCACATGACAGTAATTCACGGACCCATATTTAGATGTTCTGCTGAAAGATCAGCATTTCAGAAAGACCTTCAAGCCACCTCAGCTTCCAGCAGGTCTGTTCGGCTTTGTGTTGAGGACTTAAAAACACGAACATCTTGGCATCTCCCTGGGTCACGCTGCCAGCAGGAAGAGCTGACAGCACTAAGACTGAACACATTTCTGCCTGATAAGGTAGCCCTTTGGTTTGTCCGTTACCAGTTCTGGGATTACCTGGTCCAGCTTTAAGAGGAGGGTTCACACATTTTCAGACGTGTGCCATTCCAACAAACCGAGATCAACACACCTCTGGATCGGGTTCATGTTTAATCGCCGTGGAGAAGTTTTGCCTTTTTTATTTGAGCTATATTCAGAAAAAGGACCATTATTAATGGTAAAAAAAAAAAAAAGTGTTGAAAGTTTTAAAACCCCAAAGAAATACATTAATTCATGCTTACACACGTGTGTACTGGAAGAAACACGAAAAACCCGTGACTCAAAGCTCCCCCAGGGAAAATAAACAGCGTACGCTCACTGTTACTACAGCTGGGATGTAAGCGCTGGTCCGCTCTGAGCCGCCAGGAACTGCCAAGGTACCGTGAGCAGAGGAAAACACCAGCAGATGATGACTCATCCCGGCTGGCGGGGGGCGGGGACGGCGATAACAGCTCCTTTGCAGACGTCCTCGTGATGACACAACCGCTCACAAAAGAAACACGAGTTCCTCCACAGGACAAGCAGGCGGAATGATGGCACCACCCCCGCAGACGGCTACTCAGACGGATGGACGGGCTTCGCCCGGATGTCATTAATGCGTGGAATGTAGGGAGGCGGGCCGCTCCCTCTCCTTTTCATTATCTCGACGGGAACGCTATGTGAAAGATTCCGAGGTGGCCCGCGTGGGCACCGGCGGCCTGGATCGCCACATGAAAGGGGCAATAAGCATCTCTGAGGAGGCTGCTGTGAAAACAAGCAACTACTGCATCCCAAGAGCCTACTTTAAGATATACTTAATAGACATTGTACAAACAAACCGTTAAAGATGCAATCCGGGCCAGAGTGAGTGTCCAGTGCCCAGACCGGCGCTTTTAGGACATGCCAAATTTTCCAGTACTTACACCACAGAACTATGACCATTTGGTTAGAAATATAAAATGATAAATATGTAGCATTTTTGGCTAGTCTATGTCAGACTTAGCAGGATATATGGCTGCTATGAGCCCCAAAACCATGATCGTTGGATACATTGCCCCAAGAATCGACTGCTTCCATTTACACGTAACAGGCACAAACATCCCAGTTTTGGCATAGGTAACCTGCAGAAGAACCCTGTTAGGTCCACTGAAAGGCAAAGATAGCCAGCTAAGAGGCCTGGTTAATGCAGAATTTCACCCCAGTGGTGCACCATAACAGAATGGAAGACCCTCAGCCAGAGAGGTACCCTGCGGCTGGGTTTGTGCCAGTATCAAGTTTTACGCAGTAGCTGAAACAGCTGGTGGACATACAGTACCACCCAGCTGTCACTAGAGGGAGAACTCCACACAAGCCTGACGCCTGCTGCAGCTCTGTGGCCCTCAGCACGTAGTCTCACACTGCACCCATATGCAAGTCTGCAGCATGGACAAAAGTAGGTCAAAAGCACATTCAGATAAGAGATTAAAGTATATATGTATATATCAATGGAGATGAGGTGCGTAACATTTCACCTAGCATTTTTAGAATCTTAGTTATGTTAACTGTTATGGCTAATACAACCTTCCTGTCTTTCAACCTCTCAGGAGTTTCTCAAAAGGCCCCCAAACCTACGAGATCAGTAAAGCCTACACATCCTCCTCATGTCATAACACAATCATCCACATTGACTGAAAGGTCAAACTGAAGTCTGGCAAGTGATGGGACAGTATTCATTTTTGATTTTCATAGATATATAAATTTCCAAATCAAACCACACCTGACAACAATACATACAGCTCTGGGAAGAATGAAAGTATTCGTATTTAATTTTTTTTTTTTTTTTTAAATGCAGTGTTAAATCCTGGTTTAATCAGTATTCTGCTGGCAGAAAGCTACACTGGACTGCTTCCAGGCAAGTAGGAGAACTGGGAAAGACCAAAACCAGTCAGGTAAAGGGCAGAAGCGACTTTCTAATGCCAGAGATGACCATCAACTTATCCGACAGTGCCCGATGAATTGAAGGTTGACCTCAAGTGACCTTCAAAAGGAATAGGAAACATTAAGTGGTGTGAAGTGCACTGCTAGGGCAATTCATAACAGGCTCCTACAAGCAGGACTGAAGACTCAAAGCAATGAAGAAGCCCTTCATCAATGAGAAGCAGGAAAGAGCCAGGCTGGAGCTCACAAAAAAATGTGAATTTCACACAGGCACATACCCATAAATTGAGAAATGAGTGAAACTGAAAATTTTGCTGTGGTCTCAGTTTTTTTTCCCAAAACATTACATAAACAAATTAGTAGCAGATATTTTTGAGCACTGCACTCAGGTCAGTAATTTAGCTGCATGCAGACAGGCTCATCTCATGAGGAAACTTGATTTGCAGTCATCTTAACATCAACCATCACCATCTTGCAGTGACAACGGCGTCACTGCTGCAGTGAGGTACTACACTGTCAGGTCTAACTGGAGCTGAACATGAGCCCTGAGGTGCTACTGAATGCAGCATCCATGCCTGTAGTGTGAAGTTCCCAAAACATCAAACATACCAGATCAAAAAATGTGAACGTGTTTATCTAAATAAGTATACAAGCATACAAGCACACCCTGAGCAGTTCAGACCCTGAGCAGGAAAAAGAACTCATACACACGACCCCCAGCTGTACGCCCTAGAGCTGCCACGATTACCTGATTACTCAATTTTGAAAAAGGATCAATGAAAATGCCTTCTCGATTACTCAGCAATGACGGAAGAAAAATGAAAAATAAAGGATAAAGGTCAAAATAAAAAGCAAAAGCTTTAATTGTATGAAAGAAAATTCAGATGAACTTTCAAGTTTGAGGGACTCACCCAATAATGCGAGGTTAGCCAGAGGCAGCTGTAAGATATGCCCCTTTCAGCCACTTGGATTAGCTGATTCTGTCTTTGTCAATACTTTACTTTAGATCTTTGCGTAAACTTATTTTCTCCGATGACTGTATCTCAGGATAAAATCACCACTAAAACAAATCTAGCGATGCCACTTAGCCACATCATACAGTACATAGCCATGAATATTAACTTTTTGTGAATGTGTGCATTGATTAGCGCTGAACGATACTAGAAAAAAATTTACATTGCAATATTAAATTCTTTGTGATAAATATCAAAATTCACCCAAACAGAACTTATCTACCACTACAGTCTGTCAAATAAGGTGCGGTTGCCAGAAGCTGTGCCAGACACAAACCAGTGCCGACAAACTTGCTACTAAGTAATATTGTCTATTTAGCTTGTAAATATATATAAATGGTTAATTGTCAAAATAAAATCAGTATTTAATTCAATTAAGATAATCGACAACCCTAGAACACAGAGCTAATTTGTTGGATTTTGATGCCAATACCTTAGGTTTCCCAGAAGGGCTTTTGCAGAATCCAGTGAATAATTAAATGTTCCTTCATTTCCAGAGGTTCAGGAGATACGTTAGAGTAGTGGTGAGAGATGACAAAATTGTCAGAGTTATGGCAAGTTATGGCGATTCAGAGTTATGGCAAGAATCGCAATACAGCACAACAGTCATTTACGTTGACATTACATTTAGCAGAAGCTTTTGTCGAAAGCAACATACATTTGAGACAAAATAGCACACTACAAACATGGCATTGAGGACGCCACTAGGCATACGTACGACTGGGCTGAGCTTTTGATGAAGACCCAGATACAAAGTGCACTAAACACTATTGTTATAACGAAAGAAAAAAAAGGACAAGCACCCATCAGACGATGCCTACGTGTTGAGAAGAACTGGTTCCAAAAAAGGATCTACTTCAACCGTGTGGAAATGGTTTGTATTTGCGAAATCCCATGTGTACCAAGGTATTGTAATTTGCAAACTTTGCAAAGATAGCATTCATAACAGGTGGCAACACAACATGGAAAAAAAAAATTGTATTTGTTGTAAACTGAATTCAGAAATGCACGATTATTGACCAAAGCAATAAATGGTAACTTTTGAGCACAAATGAACAATAATTAAGTGTATTATTATAATGCTACAAGCAGTGTTTCTTGTAAGAATAAAATTGCTGGTTAAGTGGTTAAATGGTCTATTAACATTACTACATACAGCCATTTATTAGGTACTCCTTTGCTAGTACTGGGTTGGACCCCCTTTTTTTTCTTCAGAACTGTCTTAATTCTTCATGGCAGAGAATTCAACAAGATGCTTGCAACATTCCACAGATCCTTTGGTCCATGTTGACATGACAGCATCACGCAGTTGCTGCAGATTTATCAGCTGCACTTTCATGATGCGAATTTCCC